GAGTTATCCTGTTTTGAGCTCGTCTTCTACAGCGGCGCGAACATACAATACTCAAGATGGGGGAAAAAAGCAAAGAAAAAACCCGCTCACTTTACTGTACCGGTACCGTACTCGAGTACCACACCCGAGTGACAACCAATGAAGCTGCAGCGAGAAAAAGAATCTTGAATAGAGAGAGAGAGAAAAAACAAAGCAAATAACCTCCCTCGCTTATGCCATAACTGCCATGTCCCCCGACTTGCCGGTACTGGTACTTGTACAGGTTAGCCAACTCGAAGCCACGATTTGTTTTGGGAGAAAACCAGCTCAAGGGCAACAAGGGGTTGTGTGTGGTCCAATGGGATGAAGAGCAGCTTTGGTTGACTGGCAACCTCGCGTGCAAAACTTGCTCATTTGCGCTCATCGCCTTGGCGGGTAAGGTTGTACTCTTACAAGGTTTTTAGGGTTACCGAGTACGGTATCTTACTGTGCAACGGCCGTGCTGTTTGATAGAGGGATAAGTTGGGGGAGTGGGGGAGTGGGGGGGGGGGAGGTGGTATGATATGCTGTGTTTGACTGGTTTTTACAATAATATAATATTATTAGGGTATCTCCCAGAGTTGCCTTGGCTTTGGGAATGCGGTATTGTGGGTTTTTTTATGATAGGAGGATGAAGTTTCGGGATCTTTACGATGCTGGTGATGGTTGCGGATAACAATCACAAGTATTGCTGCTATCATACGTCGGATACTAACCTGCACTTGCCGTCTTACGAACGTTGAACTTCCAACAAAACCCGTGGGTGATATGACCAGGCAAAGTTGCTTTTTTGCTCTACCTCTTCTTTGATATAGGAAGATTCTCCTCCGTCGGAGAATGGCGGGGACACACTGGGCAAAAGCCATAAGTTGAATTGAGCAAGTTTCCCCGCCCTCTTTCCTATTCCCCCCCCCCCCCTACAGTGCACATACCGGTATCATACCTGTACCCCATCCCCACGAGTCCCTGGGATGTCATATGGGGCTGGAATTAAGGTTGTGAAAAATTTCAATCCATGTATGATAATTATTATGAAAAGAAAAAAGAAAGAGAAAAAGACTATCATACTTTTCCCCTTCGCCCTGAACAAGTACTTAAATATCGAGTGTGCCCCCCCCCTCCCGTAAGTCTTCTTCACTTTCACCGCCAACTAGAGCTCTTGCACTTCCTAGCTAGCTAGTCAACTTCGATTCCCCCGCGTTCTTGTCAATCAACACACACACGCACGGAATAATCTAGCTCCAAGTCTTCGATAATTCACAATGCGATTCCTCTCCTTCCTCCTCGGCGCCGCCGTCTCCGTCTCGACTGTTTCTGCGCATTTCGCAGTTACTTATCCGTACTGGCGCGGGGACAGTTATGCCACTCAATGGACTTATCCATGTATGCTCACCTTGTACTCGAGCCTTTTCGGGTTTTGATACTGACTGGGAGGTGGGTTTCTAGGCGGTGGTGTGAACCAGTCCGTCTCCGACTCAAACCGTACCGCCTGGCCACTCGACGGAGGGTCACTGGTCTTCACACCGACCCATGACAACGCTCAGACTTACGTCAACTTGGGCGTGGGGAATAATGTCACGAGACTCAACGTCACCCTCGTCCCCCCCTTCAACCAAACCGGTAACGGGACCTTTTGCTTCCCGAAAATCTCCATCCCGTCCGGCCTGGGTATCGGGGAGGGCACCAATGCTAGTATTCAGGTTATCCAGTTGTCTCACAATGGTGGAGCTTTGTACAACGTATGTCGAATTGCCGGAAACTTTCAGGGTGGACGTGAGTGAAGTGGCTAACGGAGGGTATGTAGTGCGCGGACATCACCTTCAGGAAGGACGCTCCGGGGCCTCCCACGGGAATGTGTGTTAATTCCACTGGTGTTGGCGCTGAACCTCTCGGATCCGATGATGATGTAGCACCTAAGTCGAGCAGTCAAGGAGATCAAGGAAGTCAAGGAAATCAAGGAAATTCTTCCAGTAGTGGGGACACCTCCAAAAAAAGTGGAGCTTCGAAGACTACTGTTGGCATGCTGAGCGCTGCTGGTCTCTTCGTTGCGGGACTTGCGTTGTTTTAATAGTGGTTTCTTTATCTTCCTTTCCGGGGCGTTTAAATAATATCCAGTTCTGAGATTGTATTTTTTTAAATTTTTTTCCCCTCTTGGTATTTTTCTATGATGCGGTGGATGTATAAATACATGATGGGGAATGTGAATTGACGGTTACAGCTCAGACTGCCATAATAACCATCTGATTGGTTTCGCAATGCGACAATGTTGTTAGAAGTACTTTTCTAGCGACATCATTTAGCGATGAGACCCGGGGGTCTAAGCTGCAGCGAGCCGCTTCTTCGGTTTCGTGTATTTTGTCCACTTGTGCCTCCGTTCTTCATATCCTGCGTCCGGCCCAGTGTGCGCTATGTCCGTGTTAGGAGATGTTTCCAGAAATAGTGCTGGAGATCATAATTTCTTACACTCATAAAGACAGCTCGCGCAATAAATATCATTCTCACACCCGGAGCACTTATATTCTGCATCGTCGTTACATATACCTAAACGCAACATCAGCAACCTAAAACTGCTACATCGCTGCTAAATGCATCACTCACAGCACCATGTGTCAGTCTCATCATCCCCAGGCTTCGCAGCCATGAGATGTGGCTTCGGTTTAACCCCGGGCTCGGCCTTGGGCACCGTAGGTAGCTCAAGCCCTCCCAGAGCTTCAAACCGTTTAAACAAGGACTCATCTACCTCCGGAGCAGCCTCCCCCGGCTCAGCAGGCCCTGGAGGTGAGGGAGGTTCAGGTGGTGTCGTTATTCCATTTGCCCTTTCGAAATCTATCTCGTCACGTATTCGTTGTAGAATATCAGCTTCTTCCTCCTCCTCCGTAGTGGCTACGGGGCGCAGAGTATCCGAATGAAGCCAGTCAGGGGGAACCGACAGGTCCTCCGGCAGTGCATTTTTAGCGCCATTGACGTCTTTTGGCGCTTTGGGGGGAGAGGGTATATATGCTTTAGCTTCCGCCAGGAGAAGATCTACTTCGTCCATCTCCTCGTGCGAATCTTCACCGGTATCCCAGAACTCTTGGTTAGAGGATAAGGCGTTGAATATTTCTTGTGTCTGAATCGCCATTTAGTGTCTGCCCCCGGCTTGGAAATGCAGGGGGTGGATGGGCTTTAACCTTTGATTCGGATAAAATGTCTTCATATTCTTTCTTCAGTTCTTTAACCGACGATGATTTGGCAGAACTTGGAGTAAGCCTCATCTTCTCAAACCGGGCTGTGAGTTCATCGTTCACTTCGGTCTTGGGAGTTTTGGGTGGTGAGCTCGAGGTTTGCGGGATAGTGGTGGCCGGCGTAAGAGAGCTACTAAAGCTACTTCGGTAGTTCAGTATGCTATCTTCTAGTGAACTTGGAGACAACAATGCGCTCGACAGGGGACTATAATTACCGAGTCTCATACTCGTTCCGCAGTGCGGCTAACCTACGAGCCAAATAATCATCCATAGCTTTTTTGATAGTTCAACGTTACCCTGTGACAAATTTGGAGCTATCGTACCACCACCAGCTATCATAGCTTCAGAAAGGCAGGGTAACCGATCCAGGCAGGGAACCAAAGTTCTACGATATCATCATCAGTTTTGGGTGTCGACCATTACCCGGCCACCGGCTCCCTCCACGTGATGCAGAATAGTCGCGTCTCCTCGGTTGCAACTGTCGAGTGACAGCATTGGCATACATAAAAGGGGGAAAACTTTATGGCCATGAAGATTTCCTTCGACTCCCTCGTCAGCGGTTTCGCCGCTGGGTGCTCAATTAATAGAGATAATTTCTCTTTCGCTGCCATGGATAGTAATTTGGTTTCACTAAATTCCTTACCTTCCGCGAATTCCTTGCTAGCCTCGCTCGTTGCTGTTGTTTTTTCGTTCTTCGCTCTCTGGTATTGGAGGGATTTGAAATTTGCTGCAGTTTCTTATACAGTGCCAGTTCCGGAAGAGTGCAAGGAGGGATGGAAGGGTGAGGTTCTTGCAGAGCCTTCCATTCGGGTATGATTATTGTGATTTCAGTGAGTTGTATGACAGTACTGATAATGGATATTCCAAACAGAGTGAGTCGGATTACAATATTCAATGTTACTGTCCGGCCACTGGACGATTGCTTGGAAGGGCCAGGCCGGCATACCCTGAGGATATCGATAAGGCGATCGCAAAGTCGGCGGCAGCGCAGAAAGAATGGGCAAAGACGTCTTTCGAAGAAAGAAAGAAGGTTCTGAGGTCACTTCTTAAGTATGCAGTTGCATCCGGGCGCTGGGAGGTAGCCGTCTAATGTTTCCTAGATATATTCTCGCCAACCAGGATACAATTATCACCGCTGCTTGTCTCGACTCTGGAAAAACTCGCATTGACGCCGCCCTCGGAGAGATTTTGGTTGTCGTTGAAAAAATCAAGTGGGTTCTGAACAACGGGGAGCAAGCATTGAGGCCGGAGGGGAGGGGCGTCTCCTGGCCATTGATGTGTTATAAAAAGGCGGAAGTGAGATATGAACCTTTGGGAGTTGTTTGTGCTTGTGTCTCTTGGAAGTGAGTAGATCTTTCGTCATATCAATTGTGGTACGCTAACTTTAGTTTTCATAGTTATCCTGTAAGATTTCCCTTTCAAATATCCTTATCATGCAGGGCAAATATGGACTCTGACAGATCAATAGTTTCACAATCTCCTTTGCCCTATGATTAGTTCTATATTCGCAGGAAATGGAATCGTTGGTGAGTTACGAGATGGAGCTTGAACATATTTATGTAAACAAGGGTATTTGTGCTGACGGTTGGCGTAGTTAAGGGAAGTGAAAACACAGCCTGGAGTTCTGGTTACTTTGTTTCCACAATTAAAGGTGCTCTTTCTGCTTGTGGTCATAACCCAGACCTTGTTCAGGTAAGTATGAAGCAATCATGGAAGGCGGGGTTAAACTGATAAAGACCAAATAGTCTATCACATGCTGGCCAGAAGTTGCCCCTCACCTCACCTCTCATCCTGGAATCGCTCATATCACTTTCATTGGATCCCGCCCGGTTGCCCACCATGTGGCTGCATCCGCTTCTAAATCATTGACCCCTTTGTGTATTGAATTGGGTGGTAAAGACGCGGCCATCGTTCTTGACGACGTTCCGAACGTTAAAGCGTTATCCTCAGTACTTATGCGTGGTGTTTTCCAGAGCGCTGCTCAGAACTGCATTGGGATTGAAAGGATTGTGGTCCTCCCAAAAGTGTACTCGAAACTCGTCGAAATACTTGAAGAAAGGATCAAGAAAATCCGACTAGGATCTGTCCTTGACGGTGATGAAGTCGATTGTGGTGCCATGGTTTCTGCGGCTGGGTTTGACAAACTGGAGTCCTGGATTGAGGACGCTGTCAAAAAAGGCGCTAGATGCTTGGTTGGTGGTAAAAGACTGATTCACCCAAAATACCCCCAGGGTCATTATTTCTCACCCACGCTCCTTGTTGACGTAACCGAGGATATGCCAATCGCTCAAAACGAAACTTTCGCCCCTATATGCGTTCTCATGAGAGCTAAGGATGTTACGCATGCCATTCACCTAGCAAACTCGACTGAGTACGGCCTTGGTGGCTCAGTTTTTGGAAGGAACAAACGAGATCTCGATCGTGTTGTGAGAGAATTTAAGAGCGGCATGGTGTCTGTCAATGATTTTGGAGTATATTATCTGAACCAGTCATTGCCCTTTGGGGGAGTGAGAGGGTCTGGATATGGTAGGTTCGCTGGTGTGGAGGGTATGAGAGCAATCTGCAATGTTAAGGCGGTTTGTGAAGATCGGTTCCCCCGATTGATCAACACTGCTATTCCCCCAGTTGTTGATTACCCAATAAGAGACGGTAACAGAGGTTGGCAATTCACCAAAGGTAAGAACGCGTGCGTCTAGAGTAGTGCTTGTAATCCAATTGGATATCGTTCACTAACGTACGTGTTGTGTAGGGTTGATCGAGCTAGCATACGGGGAAAGCTGGTGGAGAGTTGCGGGCGGTTTGTGGAAACTGCTCACGAATATGTAAACATGTGTTGGGCCTTACATACAAGTTATAGTCTTTCGTCCCGACAACTTACCAGTACTGTTTTTGTAATATTTTTTGTGCGCCAAAGGATGTCTTTGTTTCTTTGAATGTGTGATACTGGTATGGTATTTGCGCTTGCATCGCGGGGTTCAATTTGGTGGTTAGAGGAAGTTGATATCATTTATCCTAACGCAATTGCCAAAATAAATAATAGCTATCAAGTTGCCATCCTGTATCGAACGCCGCAGCACCTAAGATACCAATGCTGTTGCGGTACGGGATCAAAGCTCAGAGGGTGTGCCACGATGCGCTGTATAAACAACTCAGACCCCAGATGCTCATATGTGCTAAGAGTGCTTACTATGCTATAAAGCGGGGAAAGTCATAACAGAAATCTTGGAACGAATGAGTATAATTCGGTGGACTTCTGTACTATATGATACGAGTAGACATACTGGTATTACTGTGTGATCATGAAAAGGTTTGGACCACTGGTGTCTACATTAACCACGAAGACCTGCACCAAGGATCTGATCAGGGCCCGTACTGAAAATTTGCGCGGTAACGCGTAAGCGAAAGAATGGCATGAGTTTAGCCCCTTGATGTGGTCGCTGACAACGGGGCTCAGCTCCCAAACAAGTTGTGACCCCGTTTCCAGAAAACAATCCTTTTGTCCCTATAAGTACTAGTACCGTATCATACATCCCCAACTCTTGGCTGTCCAACAAGAAACCCCTTGTCTACTTTAGAAAGGAATCTTTGTCATTCCATCCACCCATTCTCAACACCAAATTACGCAACTCCTCGCTCCTTCTTCTACTCCGCTGTTCGCTCGTCCTGAATTCTAGCCCTTCCCTACCGAAAGAACTTTTCATCTCTGTCTCCACCAATTTTATCTTACCATTTTTTTTCCCTTTTCCACAGTACTGCGTGCTGCCATTCCTTTTCTCTATCAGACCCCCGATAGGCATCTTCACGCCATGAGTTCAGCAAGACTAGCCTTCAATTCGGCCAGACAACGCTCGTTTATAGCGTCATCAGGTAATTGCCCATTCCGAACAGCCTGAACCTTTAGTTTACGATTGCTGACCCATATAGCTCGGCGCACTTGCCTTCGATCGCCACCCGGGTTATGTTCTCGTAAAGGTCTTCTGCATTCTCAAATTGCCCGATATCAATCAGCTATCATCATCCTTGCTTCTCAGAGGCATCTGAGTACCGATACAGCAACAACTGGAGTCGGCGGTCCTATCATTCCTCCCCCGGGTTTCGACCCCAAAAAAGCCAGCAAGCCAGTTCCCCGTGAGGCAACTATCGCAAAACCCTCACCGAAACCGGAAACCGTGGTTGCCCCCGACAATAGTGGTGCCGAAGCCCCCACGTTAGAGAAGGATCCAAAAACTACACAAACCGAGAACTCGATTGCTATCGCTACGGCTAACGAGGGTGGCGTTGAGAAGAAAAAGGAGGAAAAGAAAGCTACTATTTGGCAGAAGGTTAAGCATGGCGTGCAACATTTCTGGGATGGAACAAAGCTATTGGGTGCGGAGATAAAGATTTCTTCAAACTTGGCTTTGAAGATGGCTGCGGGGTATGAGTTGAGTCGTCGTGAACGTCGTCAGGTAAGGATTTTGAATCGTTTACCCCAACATGCCGTGTCTGAAACCGGTGTCATAGCTCGAGCGAACAGTCAAAGATTTGGGCCGTCTTGTCCCCTTCTCGGTCTTTATTATCGTTCCTGCTGGTGAACTCTTCCTGCCGGTCGCTCTTAAAGTCTTTCCCAATCTTCTACCGAGTACCTACGAAGATCAGAAGGCGAAGGATTTGAAGTCTAGCAAGCTCCGATCCACCAGGCGGGACGTATCCGATTTCCTCCGCAAGACTTTGCGGGAGAGTGGTATCCCGTTCAGTGCCAAGACCAGGCAGCGGGAGGAATTCACGCAGTTCTTCAAGAAGGTGGCTAAACTTTGAGACATCTAGCTCTACGAGTATCTACTAATTATTATGTAGATCCGATCAAGCGGCGAACCCCCCAGCCGGGAAGATGTCATCAAAGTTTGTAAGATCTTCAGGGACGATGTTACTTTGGACAATCTTTCAAGGCCCCAGTTGGTCGGAATGTGCCGATACATGAATCTCAATACTTTCGGAACCGATGCTATGTTACGCTATAATATCAGGCACAAAATGCGGCAGATTAAGCGGGACGACCGTGCCATCTCCTACGAAGGAGTGGATTCGCTTTCGGTTCCTGAGCTTCAAACTGCGTGCGCTTCCCGTGGTATCCGCACCCATGGCGTCAGCCCCGGCCGCCTACGAGATGATCTCAACACCTGGCTCGAACTTAGATTGAAGCACGGTCTTCCGTCTACGTTGTTGGTATTGTCAAATGCATTTATGTATGCCCAGGGCAAGGAGAGCGAGATTGATTCTCAGTTTGACGCGCTTGTTTCAGTACTCAGCAGCATTCCCGAGGAGCTCTACCACGAGATTGAGCTCGAGGTCAACACCCTTGAGGGAGCCGCAACTAATAAGCAGAGACTTGAAGTATTGAGGGAGCAGCAAGAGCTCATTGAGGAAGAGAACGAACAGAGCTCCGAGTCTGCTTCTGAAGCCTCTAAGAAGGCCTCGAAGGATGATCAAAATATTGACGAGAAGGAGGCGTCCATTCTTGATGCCTCCGAGGGCGGGGTCGAAGCCAAAGGACCCCAAATAGTTACCGAGAAAGTTGCGAGCCCGGAGGGTAAGGGGAAGAAGGAAACTTAAAGGGCCAGGATGGGGGGATGGGAAAAATATTCCACACTCTCCGCCCGGTCTGGGCGGTGCTTGCTTTGCCGGGGAGGTTTATATTATCTTTTTTTTTTGTTTTGTTTTGCTTTCCTTACCTTACATTACAGGTTACCATATTAGATCGGAAACAGGGTCAGGGGTTTGTGTTGATAGACTACTACTGCTGCTGTTGCAATTGCTATTTTCTCATCTCTGTGAGGGAGGGCCGAAACTTTGAGGCATAGGAATTCTGTATTACCAACTTGTGTAGTCGTGTCTCCTAAGTCCTCGTACTGTCCATGGCAAAAACATCTCAACTATACCGTCTCTTTAATTTCAAGTTTCCCATTACATTTGTGGGACAATAATAGCTAGGTTGTAAGCCAACCTGCCGGTATATCTCCAGACAAAAGTTTATAATATTATGTAGTATCTTAATTTGTTAGCATTAAATATTTCTAGTTTTCTGTGACCTCCGATTGGCAAGGATTCGCCAGGATTGGACAATAGAATGATTTCTGGACTTCCCATCATGATCTACTAATCCACCGAGCTATTATGATACCTATAAATTTGTGTTGCCAACTACGGTGCTTTGGATCGTTGTGCTGTCGCCAGCCATTGTGCGAGAACTCATCAGACACGACCGTACATTGGAGCAAAGTAACGCAGATAATTCGAACGAGCAGTCGCGCGAGAAGAAATATATTCCACCCAATACTACTTGCGCCAGTCCAGTCCACCCTATCCGCCACCACCGGAGCCATGATGACACCTTAAGGTATCATACCGGCGCAGCACCTCTCCCCCCGAACCCCTCCATCACAGCCGCCACACCCCTCCGCTTGGCAATCAAGTCCTCGAGTCCGCGCTGCTCGGAGCGCAAGGCGAGGAACTCCTTCGCGCGCGTGAATTCCCGGTCCGTGGGTTCGGTGGTCGTGTCGGTGTGGGGTGAATTTACGAGGGCGAGGGCATCGGATGTGTTCTAAAAGAGGAAGGGTTTTGGTTTGTCAGAGCCGAATAGGAAGGAAGAAGATAATGGGACAAGAAGGGGGGGGGGGGCGGTACGAGTGTTTTCAAAGATGTTAGGTCTGCTAGGAGTTCTGCTAGGAGGACCATTGTTTGGGGTGATGGTTGGTTGGATTATTTGGCGACTGAGTGTGAATGTGAAGGGGGTGCTCTCTTGAGGTTGTGGCTGGTATGATAAGTTATGATAGAGGAAGATGCATTGAGATCATGTGATTGGAGACGGTCTTGGCAGGGGAGGTTGGCTGGGTTGGGGCTCTGCCGGCGAACTCGGCCTTTGAAAGTCTATTCGAGCACTCGTACAGTACCGTAAAATCTCTTAAAATTCGGTATCGCTCAACGCGGCCGGATCTCGGGAAATAGTTAAGCGAGGTATGACTAACTCAGCGAGTGACTGTCTGTGATCAGGAAATTAAGTTCTGAATCCTTGCAATATCAAACTGTGATCTGCGCCTCAACTAAATCATAGTGCAGGCTCATTGTATTCCAGAAATTGCGACATCTGGACACAGTTCTGAGTCTACTGTAAAGATATTATGACTCTTATAAAGAGAGAGTAGATGGAAAAGGAGTTTAGGTCTGAATACGAGAACATTCAGGAGAGTACCGTAAAAACCTGCTGTATCCACTATCAGGAATCGGGACTTGGCGACTGTTCACAGGGGTGTGTATGCTAGTGCCAAGAGACCAAGTAACCGGCCATAATGCTGAAATGTGAAAATAGTACAGACTCAATCAAACTAAACATGAGTCAGGATGTATCATATAAAATTAAGATAAAACCAAAAGAGTTAAGAAGATATTTGCAGACTTACTTGAACCATAAGATGACTGGAATACAATATTGTAGGGGGAATAAGGAGCCAGTCTGATGTTCGTGACTTAATATTGTAAAATAGGTATTAGTAGCGGTAAGTAAGAAGAGAAAAGGAAATATGAAAGGAAGGGTAAGGAGAGTAGGAAGGAGGAATACCAGCAATTCGGAGGAAAGAATGTCACCAATTTAAAAGCTAAAGCAGCGCCATTGTAGTCCAAAAGCAAAGCAAATTGAAGACCGAATTCTTACTCTATATGATCTAAAGCCAAACAGATAGCCAGAACGAACATATAGTCAATTGCAGAAAATCAGAGTCCTTACATTCCTCGAGCACCACAAAATTCCTCTCCCCCACAATAGTGAATATAGCAAGCCCACACAATATAAAGCATCCAAGTTCTACCAAATTCCACAAAGAACTATTAGTAACTGGGTATGAAAAAGGAAGAGGATTGAGTGATTTGGGAAGAAGTTACTAGTAAAGGGGGAGGAGGGATTGGGTTATGTGGAAATAGTATTCTGGCAGGAATTGGAGGACCAGTTATATAGTAACTTTATTGAACGAAGAAAAGCTGGCCGAACCATACAGTAGGTGTGGTTTTGGGTACGCTCACAGTTTTAATTTCATGTCCTATATCTGAACGTGAGTTCAGCAATCTTTCAGTTCAGTAATAGGTGGTTTCGGCAGTTTCTAAGTTACCATCACATTAGTCTACGAAGTATCACGAAGAAGGTGTAAAAGCTCCCAGCTGATTACGAGATACTTATCGTTAATTGGCTGTGATTTAATTGCCGAAATTCTCAGCCCCAACAGAATGTATTTTGAGAGGTTGCTGTGGAGTACCTAGTGGGCTGATACAAGTTGTTGAACATTTGCAATTTGGATGAAACACTGATATAGTTCAAGTACTTGCAGGGGAAGACATATAATCATATCGGAGAAAAAAGCGATTTAGGTAAAGGAGAGCAGGTCTGGGTGGGACAAAAGACAGGCTAGCTTAGTTCTGTATATATTTACCAATGGGGTATTATAAGTACCACCTATAGTAGTATTTCATAGAACTGGAAAACGGCTTGATGTAGAGAAACTATACTATCATTCAGATATTTTAGTAAAGTATAATCTGACAGCCTATATGAATGATTCTCTTTTCGAAAATTATATTACAAAGCATCTGATTCCTGTACTCAGAGGACACCCAACCTATTTTACCCTCGATCTAATAGGGTCTCATCAGACTTCCACAGTTCTCCAACTCCTCTGCAACAAGAATATTACCCTCTTCTTATTTCCCACTGGATGTACGAGTTTCATCCAGCCCAACGATGTCTCAGTAAATAAGCCCTTTAAGGAGTTAATGCGAGATCTTACTAACGAGAAAATCTTTGAGTTGGAGTCAGTAGAGGACTTTGAAAAATGGAGAGTGGAAGATAGCAGGGTCATGACTACTCACTGTGTAGGCGAAACATTCAACTAGTTCCATTCTTCAAAAAGTCATGTAATTAAAACCTCTTTTCGCAAATTAGGATTATTGCTTCCAATTAATAGAAGCTAGGATAACAAGTTAGACATATAGGAGTTTACAAACTTGGAAATTAGGAATTGGAAGGAGGATTTGGCCTCATTAGATGAGAGGGTAGAGGTACCCGAGGAGGGAGATTGTAACGATCCCTTCTTTAGATAGTTAGTTCTTGGCGACGGGGAACAATACTTATCTTTTCTGTCTTCTTCTTTCTTTATCTTATGATAGCTCTAGGCCTCTGCCTACGTTACCGATAGTACAAGACCTTTGTCTTCTATCGGAAAGGCCTATCGTAAGCTTTCTCTAACTCGTCTTCGTGACGAGCGCTTCTTGGCGTAATGATAATGTTGCAATAAAGATAAAGATCGTAAAGGTGTTTTATATTCGTTAAACTAATAAGTAGGAAAAGTACTTAGAATAAAGCATGAAGAACCTATCTTCCTCGGCCGCATCAGCCTCCTTATATAGTATTCTTCCCGCCTGTAGTCATGTGACCTAAAGTGGTCACATGTGCGAAACCAAATCATAACAAACTAGTCATGTGACCAAAGTGATCACATGCTCAAAACCCATGACCTTATAGCGAGGTCATGTACAAAGCTCATAAACCAATCATAACGCAATAAACAAGTGATATGACTCGACTGAGTCATATGGGCGAAACCCCTGACCTCATAATGAGGTCATGTGCAAAACATAAATCATATGCGCAAGGCTTACCTGCAAGGCATACTCTCTAGGCATACTTGTCAGGCGCACGTCCCATGACTCATACTTGAGCCATGTGCGAAAGCATCACAAATCCCACACATAACAAATCATATAACCCTAATGAGTTATATGTGTGAAACAATAACGTACCTGTGACTCATAACTATGCGTCACGTGAAAACCCTTTTCTCGCTAAGCCACATTCGTGACAGAGATAATAGTGTAGCATTTATTGAAACTGAAAACTAATACTAATACAATAATATTTATTATATAGTAGTTCCTATAATGTGTTTGCAAGGTGCTAATCACGTTATCAGTAATAGATACGATAGTTGGCAGGTGGCCGGCTCTTCCAGAGAGGAGGCGAGAGCTGAGAATTAAAGGAGGCTTCGAGGGTGTACTGAGGAACAAAGAAGTAACCGTTCAACCAAGTATATTGAAATAATTTCTATCAAAGTCTCCCTTTTCTATCGTAGAAACAGGCGGTCTATAAATACCAAAATCTGTTCATGTCTAGCATGAACGAAACTAATCAAAGGTATTAATCGATATACTCTGGTAAAACTAATTAAGTATCAAAGCGATACTTAAAACAAAACATAAAACAAAACCAAGTATCAAATGATACTTAAAACAAACCAAGTATCAAAGCGATACTTAAAACAACATAAAACAAAACCAAGTATCAAACAATACTTAAAACAAACCAAGTATCAAACGATACTTAAAACACACCAAGTATCAAAGCGATACTTAAAACAAAACATAAAACAAAACCAAGTATCAAACAATACTTAAAACAAACCAAGTATCAAACGATACTTAAAACACACCAAGTATCAAAGCGATACTTAAAACAAAACATAAAACAAAACCAAGTATCAAACAATACTTAAAACAAACCAAGTATCAAAACGATACTTAAAACAAAACATAAAACAAAACCAATAACCGAGTACCCATATTAGTTACAGTTCTTCTAACAGGATTCTAGGAAAACAGTTATGGATCCTAAGAAAAGTACAAACAAAGGAAGGAGTATAAATATAATCTCAAAAGACTCTAGGAGAAGTGAAGTCTTCTGGTTACCAAGATTTAGGGTACCAGGAGTATCCACTGTAGTTGCTCTTAATTCTAACAGTAAGACTGACATTGAAAAAAGCAAATTTCGGTATCACGGACCATCACTCAATTTCTTGACACTATTATACACATCCCCTTACATAACTTCCAAGCTCCCATCCCCAGTAGTGGATACAGAGGGTTTTTACGGTACACTAATATAGAAGAAGTCATAATATGTTAGGCGAAGATAACCTGATAAACTTCAGAGTTGTCTAAGCCAATCAAAATTTGTTTTCGTAGTCAGATATTGTCTAGGCAGACTCAGACTTCAATTGTTTCGTTTATAACTACTAAGAGTGACATAAAAATAGGTAAAGTAGAATTGAATTATAAAGAAAATATTATATTGTTAAGGTCTCTTCTCTATTGCTTGATGATGTCTAAAGCTTGAGAGGTACTTCAATATTTATATTCCCCATCTATGTGTTCACATACTACATCTATTTATTATACAACTATGTACCTCTCTGATTATAACTTGCAATGTCCAGTATTCTTAAAAGGGGCAAATACTTGGAGACCCTGAAAATCACAAGACTCTTCTTCGGCAATTACAATATAACTAACTAGGAATAATACTGTTCCCAATAGTAGTTATCAGATCATTAAAGTCTTTAGACTTATGGCCTAGTTTTCAAGTTGAACTGAGTTGGCCTCAATTGTCTCTGTAATTGATGAAATGATCAGTTTCGTCTGTGGATTGCATCTGCAAAGATAGTTGTAATTGCAATCTTTTTAGGTCACCTGACTTCAATCCTTTATAACTCCTTACTCAACAGATAGATATCTTTCAGAGGACTTCCTACTAATTCGCAGAAAGCTATTCTACTAGATTGATAAATATTCCCTCAGTTGGCAACCCTTGGTTGCTCTGGGTAACAGGGTTTCAATTGCTGTTGTAGTATTAAGAGTTATACCTTCAGCTACAATGTGTTCGAAAACCTAGTTGTAACACTCTATGAAGTCCATTGGCTTCTAGGATAGTGTTCCTTGAAGTTCCAGACTCTTCTGATTATTGTAAGGTAGGTGTGAATGTATTGGTCTCGTTGCGATCTTATACCATTCGATACTATCTCTTCGTACAAAAACATCCTGTTACCTATGGTCTATACTAAAATTATTACATCTTTGAAGTCTAGTAACCTTGTGAGTAGTTGATGGATTTACTCCATTCTACTTCTTAGACCTAGCTGAAGGACCCCTCTCATATACTCTGCGTACAGGATCTAGTTGGAGTGACAGTAGTGACATATATGGCATTATTCTGACCCCTTCAAATCTGTAGCATTATAGTCACAGGACATAACTGAGATTGATATGTATGATGACGTGTGGGCCTCGTAAGTGGGGTGGAGGGGGGTGTTAGAGATCAGGGATTCCAATTCTGAGTATGATTATCCTACTTAGAGTGATTCCTAGGTATCGGATCCTGGTATTCCTAATATAATAGAAGAAGATAGCAGTCATTGGAAGTAATTTGAGAGATATCAGGAGACGAACTGATGTTCCAATCAGTATATAATAGTATCTAATGTAATTAATTTGTAAAAGTTCAAGTTAGTAAAGCAATTCAAGCTTCTCGTAATCCGTATCTTTCTCAACTGATTTATACCTTTCTGTAAGTTAGATAAAGCACTTGAGAACGTTTCCTTTTCCAGTATGAGATTCTAATAGTCAATGACAGAGATATTCAACAAAATATCAGTAATTCAAACAGCCAGAAAGTGAAGAGGACTTAAAGTGAAATTTATCAGTGAGTGTATACTGACTGAACACCATATAAACTCAATAATCCATCCCAAGAGAACCTTTAGCCAAAAAACAAAAGATACCTGTACTAGTATTTCTCAAACACCACCTAATTGCTAAGAAGCAGGCAGACCACTTCTGGAATTCAATGTAAAAGGAAGCTGTAGTGATCTATAAGATACAGCTGTAAACAATTAGTGAATGGGTCAATAAAAGGTCTTCTATTGAGAAAGTTGGAATCAACTCACATGCTAGTGCCTGAGAGGGCAGTACAGAATCTCGCTGTGGGTGGCCCACATTGAAGTGAAGACTATAGGATGACTTTTTGGAGTTAAGACAACAAGGAAGAATAGTAAGACGGAGGTGGTTTCAGGTACAAGCTAAATTTAGATTTCAAGAGCTTTTTTCAGTACTCAATCCCGAAGGCTTCCAATTCAGTCACAGATAGTTTCAAGGATTCCTTGGATGATATAAAATTAGCTTATGATGTATAAAGAAAAAGCCCAGAAAGTATCTACTGAATACCAGTCTCTCATTAATTAACTCCGGTTCAACCGCCGGAATTTGCAGCCCCATTGTAGGATATTTTTGGATATCGTTCTTCAGCATCCAGCTGGCCGATTTGAGGAGTCTAATATTTGCATCCTTGATGAAACTCCAATTCCATTGGAGTATCTAAAAGGAAAGACCTACGATATCATTGGTCAGAAAACAATTTGGGCCAAAGCAGGACAAAATGGGTAGGATAAGAGGCAGGTCTCATTAGTACTTTGTATCTTTGCAGATAGAGTGCCAAGAGTACCACCAATAGTAATTTTTCATTTAAAGGGGGAGCAGTTAGGTAGAGAGTAGGACAGCTATCATCCTGGAGTTGAAGTAGAATTCAACAAAAAAGCGTGTATGAATGATGGCTTGTTTTTACACTGTATTGAAGAGCAGTTAGTTCCAGTATTAGGAGGATGACCAACACTATTTATGATTGATCTCATGGGATCTTACAAAAACTCCAGCTGTTCTTGAAAAGCTACATGTATATAATATTATGTCTTCTTTTATCCCTGACGGGTGCACTAGTTTAGTTTAGCCACTTGATGTCTCGGTCAATAAGCATCTAAAAGAAAAAATGCGAGAGCTTATTGACCATGCAATCTTCGAAGCTGAGAGTGTAGACACCTTTCAGAAGTGGAGCGTCGGCTACCGGCATATCCTAATAACCTCCTGTATTGGCGATACTTTCTATCGATTTCATATCGAAGAAGCTGATATTATTTGACGAGTATTCTAAAGGGTTGGATTGTTACTTACTATTGATAGAAGTTGTGATTCAGGATTAGATATTAAGGGATTTTCAGGTATACAGATTGGGAATTGGCAGACAGAGCCTGAGTTTACCAATGAGGTTGGCTCTATTTCAGAGATTAATGATAACAATCAGAGTATCGAATTTGTAGATAGTACAGAACTCTTATAACCTAATGTATATTGTAATTTACCATTCTATCTTAGCTATTCTAGTACTACAAGCAATTGGAAATATCAAACAAGAGTCCCATTCAGCAGTTGGTGTTGTTTCTGTCTTCTGTGCTACTTGTTGTTGAGAATTTGGGACATGCTGTTTTCGTCATCGTGGATCACTAACTCCAATTAGTTAGGCCTGATCCAGACTAACTGCTTTCAGCTTCCACTGCAGATCACAGTGATACCGAATCGAAAGGGATTTTACGGTACTCGTACTCTTACTGTATGCATCAAAACCTAACAGAGTTAGTTAGTCCTGCATGAGGCCGTTATTGCACAGAAGATCCGCACGATGCCCAAGGCAGCGGAAGAAGAAGGGAAAAAAACAAGCAACTGGTACAGTACTCGTACTCCCGGTAGTTATGTTATATGCGAACAGTCGCAGCCCTTATTTTTGCCGTGCTCTTTTACTACGGTATAATATCGAAACTCCCCAGCCCAACATGCCCAAATTGCCTTTGTGCTTTTTCGGTCTCCAGAGCGTCCGCTGAGGGAAACCGGTTTCTCGTCAATTTATATCATACGGGCGCTGGGTAAGGAGAAGTATAGTAATGTATGATAGGGGTGTGATCAATGGTATGGGATAACTTACCGTGCGCAGGAGGAATGGTCCTCAAGAGCACACCATAGGGAGAGAAGGTGTCCAAAGACAGGCGAAGAGTGTAGGATGCTGTCTACACCACAGTAGATACTTACAGATGGTGGGGTGCAGGGTGGGAGGGGGGAATTACTGATAGGGATGTTCCCGATTATATCATATAATATTATAATGATTTCTTGACAGGGTGGATAGAGGGTGTAGGGAAATGTGGGGGAATTGATTGATGGGGGTAATGGCGGTTATGATTGTAGGTATGATATCAAGAAATCTTAGGAGGAACTAAAAAACTGGGTAGTCTCGGGTGGGGACTGTGAATAATTATTGTTTGTGTCTACGAGTAGAGGCCCCCCGATATCTTTCGATGTTTTTTTTCCTTCCGACGGAACCCAAAGATTCTGCACTCGTTACATACCTTCCGGCCATTTTCCTGACCTGGAAAAAATGAAGAAAAGCGATTGTAAGTTAACCGCTCCCGCGTGCCAAATTCACACGAAATGATATAGGGAGTATCGCTTCCCTCAACTCCTCTAAATTCGAATCCCCCCTACCGCATTCGTATTGTATCTTATTGTATTGTATGCTATACTACCTTGCCTCCCGAAACCTACATTCCTCCCGAGTGAGATCCCATGACTACTGATTTCTTCCACTCCGACGACACATGACAAGAAACACACCAGGAGGATAACACACTCTCCGGAACACCGACAGCAATCGCGAAAAGTACGTACAATTCATATCAGCGGGCTACGGTCTATCATCCGTGAAAAACCCAGCGCAACCCCACTCCCGCCGTCAGCCTCCCATCTACCCTCTTCCACCAAAATAGAGCCCACGCAGGCAATACAAATCTTTCCACACCGGAACCAAGAGTATTTGATGAAAAACGAAATGCGAGGTGCATAAAAACTTCGCTAACAAGCCTCACCAAGTTACAAATCATAGTGCACCTAGTCGCTCGAGCCCTAGTCGGAATTCCTTTATTGCTGTCTCAATATCCTCGTAATCCAGTGCACTAATCGCCCATCTCGCGTGCTTCTGAGCCCGGAGGATATCCTCTTCAGTCGGCTCATGTTTTTTCATGACTGGTCGGGGCGGTGTTGGAGTCGGTAACTGCTGGGCTGGGACTGGTGGTTGAGAGTAGTAACTTGCGGGTTGGTTGATATTGTAGTTGTATCCTTGGGGCGCTGCCGGGGGCGCTGCGTCGGGTGCAGGTGGATAATGAATGTTTAGTGAGTGCTGGGAATGCATTTCTGGGAATCCGGTATTCGCAGCACTCATTGTTGATGGGGAGAGACTTGGTGCGCTAGGCTCGTGGACAATGGGTACCTGTGGAAAGAATTCGCTGGAAATATCAGACATGTGTATCTGCGGCAACGCGGGTGATGGGGCCTGAGACATTGGACGTGCCGGAGGGGGAGGAGTGAGGATTGACGGGGATTCAGAGTGGTGGAATGGCTCGGGTCCCTGCTCCCCTGGTCGTGGCGAAGGCGCTTGTCCAGGTTCTTGTGGGGTCGGGAGAGAAACTACAGGAGTCGGTGCAGAAGGGGGCAGCAATGATGGGACTTCGTCCTCAACCGTTGGAGGTGGAGGAAATGAAGTGTGGGCTTCCGGGGCTCCCATCGGTTCAGGCGTGCTCGGGTTGGGATCCTGGCCAAGGTTGATAGCTTTCAAAATCCGTGCGGCATGGAACTTGGCAAATCTGATCTTTTGTTGAATCTGCTCCTGTCAGCACCCCCCGCCACCTAACTGTGGAGTGTTATTGCGTAGCAAACCTCGGCTTCCGGTTCCGCAAAGATCCTGACAAGCTCTAGAAAGCATACCGCCGCTAACAGCGTATCCGCTGTCGTACTTCCCACCCCTTGTTAGCCCAGGGGCAACAGCCAAGTCGGACAGGCAATACTCGTACACACCTAGTAGCCTTCCCAGCAGCAACAACTCCCGCCCCGTTCTCGAATATCTTTAACGCAAAGTTCTCTACGTACGCCTGTGCCGCTACATCATCGCCAATAATATCCTTATCCTTCAACTCTTCCTTGCGCTACTCTCATTAGTACCATTCCCAAAATGCTGGTAAGGGGCGGGAAAATACCCTCTCCAGTTCGTCCATTAAATCAGCTGTCCATGTCGTACACGCGGCACTAGTCTGGTGTAAACGATTTGCGAGGACCTGCTTGACGGACCAGAAGTAGCCTGCGTTTCCGCTCCTCCTCCTGTCAGTAACGTCTAGTTTTTTCGAATTCGCGGGGGGGGGGGGTGGCAACAGTAATAAGCAATAACCGGATCAACACTCCTTAATTGATTCCCGCGGCGGACAAACTGCTTGATCGATTTCATCTCCGGTGGCGGCTCGCGCACAGGACCCAACTCGCTGGCCATGGTGAATTAATCTACAGAAATGGTATCGTGATTGTTGGTAGGACGGGGGAAGCCGTGATGGGACAGAGGCGTTGTCGATGAGTTATGGAAGCTCATGGGATGTTTGTGGTTGGGCTGATATGATGTAATTAAGGGCTGGTGGTTGGCTCGCTTGGTTCGCTCATCGATAAGCGCGGGGCACTCGCGGGGATCAAAGCCAACAAAGAGGGAGAGTGATCCCAGAACTGAGTTAACATCACTCGTGAATCTAGCATCACATAACTCATTAAGTAGAGCACTCACGGTATGGTGCAGCACAGGAAATAAAAGGGTTGGAGGTATAGAAATTGGTCAAGCAAGCAGGAAGCTTTCATCCCCTGATGCCCCACCATCCAACTTGATAGACTACCCGAGTGCGATTCCCATGCATGAGAATAGATACCAGTACAAGTACGAGTACAACATAGTCTAACGCCACCTCCCCATAGCTATCGACCCCTCGATCTATCATATTCAACCTTGACTTGACTCAACTCAACCCCTTATCTCGTCAAGTTCACTTCAATATATCCGCCCTACACACCATGGCCGTAGCTCCAAAATTCGCAGCTCATGTCCTGGGCAGTGTCGCACATCCCGTTCACACTCTCGAGATCTGTACGTAAAAGTCCCAACTGCCCAACCACCCCATCCCTCCCGGGCTCAGAGTTAACACCAGCCACAAAGATCTCGACTACGTCTGCCCGGTAAGTTCCCCCCCCGAGTACTACCATCATTGGGGTCAAAGATCTAGCTCTCATACACGGCCCCCCATATCCCAGTTTTCTGCAAAACTCTTCAAGCGAGTGTACAACGACGTGAAACCAATTATCGACTCTAAATTCCCCAACAAAGTCCAAGTAAGTGAGCCCCTTCAAAGCTCAACCCCCCCGTTTCCTCGCCATACCAACTCCAGCATTAAGCAACCAGAGCTAATACCAAGATAAGATCATCTTCAGACAACAGGTCCAGCCATGGCATCCTAGTTCCACGCTCAGTGAGTGATTCCCGAGGGGGGGACCGCCAGTAGTACTATCTTACGAGATGGTGAAAGCTAACATGTCCTGAAAAGCCCACGAGGCAGCGCTCGCCGTGGAACGAGTCCACCCGGGTTCCTTTTGGAAGTACTCTGCTGTTCGCAACACTAGTTCCCCAGCCTCAACATAACCCATGGCATATCCTACAATGCTAACTCATATCAATAAACCCAACCCTCCAGGCCATCTTCGAGAACCAGGTCGACTTCTTCGACGTCAACGTCGTTAACGAAACAAGAAACGCGGTATGCGCCCTCCCCGACCCCCCATACCAGGATCCCTCCTCTCCCGGTAGCCTGCTCGGGCTAACAGCAAACTACCATGCCAACAAAGACTTACAAGCGTCTCTCTGCCCTGGCTGCTCCCCTGGGTGTTGACGAGCAACAAGTCTACAGACTCTTGGCGGTCGCCGACAAGCCCGTCAACGGCGCATATAACTCCGGTAACCAGGTCACGAACGACTTGAAGCTGCACGTCAAAGCCGCGAGGTTGGTTGGTGTGCACGTTAGCCCTACCGTCATCTTTGACGGGATTATGGATAATTCGATTTCGTCCGGCTGGGATGTTGACCAGTGGGGGGAGTGGTTGGTGAAGAATGTTGTTTGAGCGGCGGTGATCCACACAACGTACCGTGGTGTATAAGGCCTGGAGCGGTGATGGTTGGAGTAGGCACCTGTGCTAGTCTGCTCGGATTGCATGGCCACAACTCCGATCTGTTGATAGCACACATCTCAATTGATGGAATAATATACAACTCACCCATTAAAACATTTTGAAATCTTGTACTCGTAAAACCCACTTTGATATAATCATGTACGGTACCCAGAGGGGTAAAAGGAGCCCTTCTCCGTCCGATTGAAAAGCAAACCCACTAATAGAGAACATAAGGAAGCGAGTGATAGTGCCGCCGCTGCCCAAGCTGTCGTGCAAAAGAGAACGAGAATGAGAAAAAAATTGAAAGGAAGAAAAGGGAATAGATTAACGCGAAGAGAAAAGAGAGGCAGGCATGAAAAGAGCCAAATGACAAAAACACCCTCTATTCCTCCCTGCACTAAAATAAAAAAAAACCCTTGTCGCAACTATGAGAAAAACTGGCTTTTCTGAAAACTCTCAATACTAATGTCCTCCGGCTTCGTGTCCTTCAACAATTCCCCTGCGATCTCACTTGTCATTGTCTGTGTTCGACTTTCATCCCCTGCGGTGATCTGTTTGGCTGCTCCCTCTTTCCGTGCGATAATCTCCAGGTACGGGCTCGGCAGGTATCCAACCCGTGAATCCCTAGCCCGGCATTTCCACCACTGCGAGGGGTTACCCATAGGATCTGCCTTGCTTAAGACGGCAACCAAGTCGCCCTTCTTGACCTCTAACTCAACCCCGTTATTCTGCTCCGGTGTAAAGTCGAACGTGACACGGCAAAATTCCAACTTTGTAGGATCCATCTGCGCCGCCACGTCGCCCTCTGGGATCGTGCCCATAATCTTCTTCCTTTCCTCCTCCCGACGGGCGAGAGATCGGATGAGTTTACCCATCAGGTATGGCAAGCCGAAGACGGCAAATACAAAGAACAGGAATGGCTTCTTGGATGGGCGGGAAGAACCTTTTCCCCCACGACTATCAAAGGCAGCGAAATTGCTTGCAGTCAACTCGCCGGCTGACGCTGGCAGTGGACGGCCGGTCACCTTTGCCACGGCAATGCGTGCCCATCGCATCATTGTAAAAATACCTAAGATTGACCCGAGAGTGTTCCGAAGGTTGCCAAATTGCTCGGCGACCTGGACCATTGCTACCATCCCAATAGGTGTCAGCACAGCCGCGTGATAACTGTACCCTATCGCCCAGGACCCTTATATACGTACCAAAGAATGAGGAATGAGTGGCCATATACGTCGACTCGAGCATCTGCGCGAAACCTCCAAACGCTCCGACGATACTCTCAATCATTTGAAATGTAGCAGCAGTACTGCTTTCCATCCCACGTGCAAAGCTATTCGGGTCATTCGGATCGCCAGGCATCCCTCCAAAGCCTCCGTATCCCCCGAAACCACCCATCCCCCCGTACATACCCCCACCGTATCCACCGAATCGCGAGTACGGTGACATTCCAGCTCCATAAGAGCCGTATCCACCCCCGAGGCCGCCGCCGAGACCATAACCTGGTCTATTGTAGGCGGAGTAAGCTCCTGCAGCGGTTGTTGTTGCTCCCAGTCGGTTCGTAGTCATGGCACCAGTAAGAGCTGATGGTCGAGCAGGGAGTGAGGGTGGTGCGGAGAGTGTAGCCCCTGGCGCCGCCATCGCAGGCGCTGCAGTAGTCGCTGGAGCTGGCGGGGGGACAGGGGCCGCTGCTGTAGTAGACATTATACTCAATGATGATGATCCGAGAGCTGGTAAAGCGGAATAGTGAGCGAAAGGGCTAGCGCAAGCTGATAGGACGAGAAAGAAAAGAGAAAAAAAAATAACAATGCAGACCCGCGTAACGTGAGATACGTCGATGAACACAAAGGGTGAGAGGAGAGAAGGAGGGAGGGAGGGAAAAAGAAAGAAAAAACTTACAAGACTGTTGCAGACCGTTAACTTCCCACGGCTTGGGAGGAGAAATCTGGGACATGGTCTGGTGGTGGTGAAGCAGGGGCGAATAGAACCCAACGGGAGGTTGGCGATGGGTAGCCAAGGATTGGTGTGCAAGGTCACTGGATTACCACCACGTCGCTCCACTCTCAATTTCTGCCTGCAATAACCGAGCAACGGGACTCGTAGGATGAATAAAAGGGATATATATATATAAATCCGATAGGGAAGGAGCGATAGAAGAAAGTATGAAGAACAGACTATCCAATGAGTTAGGGAGGGGAGTAGAAAAGATGAGATTGAGGGTGGGTGGGAGGTATGATAGTCTGTTCGACTTATTGTGGCGGAACCTCGGGCAGTCGGTTGGCCACAGTTGAGGTCAAACCCGCCTTTACGCATGTGCCATTGCAGCGGGGGGAGAAAGAAAACGACTATCATACTCGAGTATCGTATCAACTACAATATCAAATTTTTGCACAGTACCATACTATCCCGACCGAGTTGAGATTGGACACTTTGGAAGTGGAATTGCCACCTCAAAGGCCACTCTATTGTGAAAGATTCCCGGACAATGGGGGAAAAATATTTCGCAACATCACAATTCTCCTTACTCCTCGGAATTTAGACCTGCTACCTTTTCCTTTTGATAGAATCAGTGGAGGAGTGCCTGCTATCTGATTATGATACCAATTGTTTTCCTTTGGAGATAGCTTACCATAGCTTGCTCTGGGCATCAGGGGGTATAGTATTATCAAGAATACGAGTGCAATACCGTAGAATCTCAAATAATTGAACCTGGGGCTAGGGGGTTGAAATAAGGTCTGAAACCGGGAAGAACGGAAATTAGAGTAAGAGTAGTTCTTTTGAGAGGAAAAAAAAATTACAAATAATACTAATAATAAAGTTCAACACTGGTGTAAAAAAAAAACACTGGTTCCAGACACAAAGCACTCTCAGAAGCTCCCCATAATGCTTTATATCTCAAACCAGTTACAAAACCCTATTGATCATATGCTATTAGCTATCAAATTTGAGTACTATCATATTGGGCTCAACTATCAATACCAGCCAGTTCAATAATACTGATAACTCCAACAAGGTCTGAGGTTGCAACTTTTTTTTAAAATATTGGAAGACAACCTTTCATGCTGGAGAAAGAAAGAGAAGGAAGGGAAATATGAAGTTCAGCAGATGGAGCAGCAACGTGCAGAGGAAGGAGGACGGTAGTGGAAATAGTGTCAAGATCACTCCTCAATTGCTCCTTGGATATAGTCATTCTACAAGTAACAAGTTTTAAGGTAAAAGTAATATCTGTAATTACTTACAGTCACTCAGTAGAAGTGTTCGTAAAACCAGTCTCGGATGGCTAAGCTGCCTCACCAAAATGCCACCTTTCAATGAAGTGAAAAGTTGATTGTGACTGTTCACCCCATCGCGACTGTGACCATTCACAAATCTACACCCACTGAAGCCTCCTTTACCTAATTAATTAATTTATTTATTTCCTCTACCTTTTTTACCAATGGTTAAGTGCTCTGGAAATACGAAGTATACTGCAAAAAAAATACCCCCACCTAAAACCACCGGGAGAGAAATGAGCCTTGTAGAGAAGGGCATGATAATTGCCTTTTTCTACTACCTCTGGAACATTGTCTTGGTGGCTTAAATTATTAGACGCCCATAGACAACAGTTAAGAGCTTTCTTGTCTGGGCACGTAAACACCAATCTCTTGAAAATCTCCCTCACCCCGGTCGTACCCCCATTTTGAGTGGTCAACAGCGTCGCATAATTATACAGGCAGCCAAGTGCAACCGGAAAATGACCAGATGCTCCTTCAGGGATTGCTATACACCCAGTATTTCTCTTGATACTGGTAACTCTTTGTGCTACCTAGAGTGACTGGATATGATTGCCTACTAAATTTGCCTACATAGTGGACCAGGTACTCAGAGAAGCAAACATTAAAAAATGGATAGCCAAGTCAAGACCTAGGTTAAAGCCTAATCATGTGGCTAAGAGATTGAGATAGGCTACAGCTCATAGGGACTGGACAGCTGAGGATTTTGAAAGAGTAATTTGGAGTGATGAGTGCAGTGTGGAGAAATCCAAGGACCCAAAGCAACAATAGGTATTCAAAGAACCTGCAGAGAAGTGGTTGGCTGATTGTGTACACATAAAGAAGAAGGATAAGGGAATCTCACTTATGGTTTGGGAGTGCTTTTGGGATAAAAGAAAAGGTCCATTAGTTCCTATTACTCAAACTATCAATAAGACCAGGTATGTTAGACTTTTGAGAAGATATCTTTTTTCTGTTATTCATCAAATAATTTCCTTTGGTATACAACTTGAAGATGTTCTTTTTCAGCAAGATAATACTCCTGTTCACAAGGCATATAGTGTTATGGATTGGTTGGAGAGAAACAGTATTGAGGTTGTGGACTATCCCCCTTATTCCCCTAATTTAAATCCTATTGAACATGTATGGGTTGAGCTTAAAAAGCGATTGTACCAGCAGTATCCAAGGATTGCAGATACTCTAGGAGGAAAAGTGGCTGTTAGGAGAAGACTTGTACATGTATTACCATTGGTTTGGGAGACAATTCCTGAGGAGTTTTTTGAGAAGTTGTGGAAATCAATGCCTGATAGGATGGCTGCAGTTTTAGAAGCAGGAGGAGGTTATAGAAAATATTAGCTAGTTTAATTTATGGCAGGTCAATTGACCATTGAATGTTGAGAGGTGCCAGTGGTTGTTAATCGTGAACTTGAACTCACGTGCGCGTACGCCCATTGACAATCCCACTGACACTGCCCCACCATATAATGCAACTGCAATAAAACATTGTCTCAGATCACGAACACTTTTGCCAAGTGACTGTAAGTCTTCTTCAATATAGTAATTGTCTCATAGTTGTCTTCTGTTACTTAAGAAAATACTCTTGTTTTCTTAAGTACATCAACAGCAACTATCGTTTACTATACTTATGATATGTTTTCAATAATAGTGATATGTGAGGTGTGAATACAAAGTAGTATTTGTAAAGATATATGTTAGGAAATTACTTAAGTGGTTGCATAAAGATCTATCTATTAGGTGGAGATAACCTGTATAGACTCAGAGTTGTCTAGGCCAATCGTGATTCATTGCTATAGACAGAGATTTGTATAGAAAGACTCAAGAGATACTCATTACCTTTATAACTACTTAGAGCAATTTAAGGTAAAGTAATAAAGAATCATAAGAACTATATTATATTATTAAGATCACTTCTCTATTGCTTGATGATATCTAAAAGCTTGGAAGAGACTTCAATATTTATATTCTGCATTTGAGTGTTCGTGAACTATATCTATTTCTCATACAAATTATGTACCTCTTTAACTATAACTTGCAACATGCGGTATTCTCCTGAAGAGCAAATATTAAGAGACCATGAAAACTATCACACACTCTTCGATAATTACTATTTTGCTAATTGGAAACTGTACTTGTTTCTAATTGTAAATGTCCAATCGTTAGAGTCTTTAAACTTATGGCCTAGTTTTTAAGCTGAACTGTATTGGTTCTAATTGTCTCCCTTATTGATGAAATGATCAGTTTCATTCATAAGTCATGTCTGCAGGAGTTGTCATAAATGCAACCTTCCACGGTTGCCATCTTTAAACCTTCATAACAACTGATTGCTAACAGATATTCTTTGGATGACTTCCTACTAATTCGCAGGAAGCCATTATACTAGACTAGCAGCTAATCCTTTTCTCAGCAATTCCTGATTGTTCTAGTGAGTAGGACTTTAGCTATTATTTAGTATTGGTGATAATTTCTACAACTACAACACATCCCTAAACCTAGTTGTAATACTCTGTAAAGTCTATTAGCTTTTTTTAGTAGTGTCCTTAAGAGTTCTTAACACTTTTAATTATTGTAGGGTGGATAGGAATGTATTAGCTCTTCATAGAAATCATCTAACATTTATTCTCATGTTTTTGTATAAAGATATCCCATTATGTATGACTCATGCTAAAGATGTTACATCTTTGAAGCCGAGTAGTTCTCTAAGTAGTAGACAGATTAACTCTGTTCTACTTCTCAGACCTATCTGAGGATCCCCTCTCGTTTATCCAAAGAACAGAATCCGGTCGGATAGATGGTAGTGACATATATAGTGTAGTTCTAACACCTTCAATTCTGTAGCATTATAGTCATAAGATGCAACTAAGATTGATATGTATGATGATGTGCAGGCCGTAATGGGACCAGAAGAGGGTATTAGAAACCAGAGATTTTACTTCTAAGTAAGGATACCCTACTGTTAGGCGGAGACAACTCGATAGACTTCAGAGTTGTCTAGGCCGATCGAGATTCGTTTTTATAGACGGAGATTGTCTAGGAAGACTCGGGCTACACTCGTTTCGTTTATGACTACTAAGAGCGAAGTAAAGTAAAGTAAAGTAAAGTAAAATCGTAAAAACAATATTATATTGTTAAGGTCTCTTCTCCGTTGCTTGATGATGTCTAAAGCTTGGGAGGCACTTCGATATTTATATTCTGCGTCTGAGTGTTCACGGACTACATCTAACTAACATACAACCATGTACCTTTTTCCAATATAACTCGCAACGTCGGGTTTTCTTCCAAGGTGCGAACACCTGGAGACCCTGAAAATCATCACACCCTCTTTGATAATTATAATATGACTATTTGGAAGTCATGCTGTTTCCAATAGTAATTATCCGATGGTGAGAGTCTTTTTAGACAAATGGCCCAATTCTCAAGTCGAACTGTGTTGGCTCCAATCGTCTCCCTTGTCGATGAAATGATCAGTTTCGTCTGCGGGTTGCATCTGCGAAGATAGTTGTAATTACTGACTTTCTAGGTCATCTAACTTCAACTCTTCATAACTCCATACCCAACCGATAGATCTTTTCCGGAGGACTTCCTACTTACCTGCAGGAAGCATTTCCATAGGGTTGGTAGATAATCCCTCGGTCGGTAACCCTTGGTTGCCATGGGTAACAGGATTCTGGTTACTGTTACCAGTTTGGGAGTCACCCCCTCGGTTGTAGTATGTACCGGAACCTGGTTGTAACACTCCTCGAACTCCATTGAGTTCGATGGTAGTATTCTCAGGAGTTCCAGACTCTTCTGGTTATCATAGGGTGAATGTGAATGTATTGGTCTTTCATTAAGATCCTTTACTATTCATCATCATCTCTTTGCGCGAAAACGTCCCGTTACTTGCGGCCTATGCCAAAGATATCTCGTTCTTGAAG